ACAAAGTTTTTACAATATTAACAACTATATTCCCTTTGCTGTACATTGTATCTCTATGTCTCAAGTTTTTGGTATTATACATAATCCCAAAATTAATAGCCTGGTGCATGTCTTCTAGCATTTTGCTTATGTACCTATGAAATAGAATCCTACAAATAACACTGATTAATACAAGAGTAATACATATGTAATTTACTATATAACATCAAATATAGGGGTTTGTGCCCCTTTGCATTCCCACATACAGTGTATGTGTGAGTACTCCTTTCCCATAGCCCAGCTAACAGAAAATTGCCAGTCTTTTGCATTTTTCCAGTCTCATATGTGTGGGAAGTATTTCAGTGTAGTTTTAGTAGGCATTTCTCTTATTTGAACCAGGATGTACATTTGACTCAATTTTCCTTACAATAATATCGCACTTTCACTAAGTATTTCTAATTTGGCCTTTTTCTTTGTCTTAAAGAATGTAAGTGTGGGCGATAAAGTTCTCTACGGTCTCTATGGCATAGTGGAACATAGTGGCTCAATGAGAGGAGGGCACTACACCGCTTACGTGAAAGTGAGGACACCCTCCAGGAAATTACTGGAACATATCACTGGAAAGAAAAATGTACCTGGTATGCCATCCTAAGTTTATGTTGTTCTTAAAAAACAAATGAATTTATTCTTCCTTTTCTGGAAGAGGTATGTTATTTCATGGATACTTTAAGTGGATTCACTTTGTTTCTATTAAGTGAGAAATACCTTTAAGAGTACTTAGACAGTCTTAGAGAGTAGTAAATATCATAAGACTGTACCTGTCAGGATGATGTGAAGTGACACATAGTTTTTCAGGGTGTTAAGGCATTGTTGTACTGCAGTGGAGCAGCATTTTATTTAATGATACCAAAAGTGTCGGAAGATGTACCGGGTCCTCAGAGAGAGCTGGAGTTGAAAATTTGCTGGCTTAGCTTAGGGATAAGCATGCTAACTTTATTTTCTTTCTCTTTTCGTGAAAATGATTTTTTTCCTTGAACAAATTAATATTTACAAGACTATCTAATATTTCACTAGATGTTTGAAATGATTCTAATATTAATGCTTTGAAAGAATTCATTTTGGAAGATGTTTAACCCAAGAAGAAACACTTAGGCAATAAAATCTAGCACTAGGATAAATATAGTTTGTGATGAATGTATTGTTGCTTATAAAGTAGAGTAAGAACTTACCTATTTTAAAATTATACCTCTTTTTGTTTTGTTAGATTTTAAAGAAACCGAGAGTGAATCGGCAGGCGAGTGGGTCCATGTTAGTGACACTTACGTGCAGATGGTTCCAGAATCAAGAGCACTTAGTGCACAAGCATACCTTCTGTTCTATGAAAGAATATTATAATTATTTGTTAAATAGCACTGATAATGATGACTTAGATGACTTTTATTTACATGCTGCAGTGATAACCATAATATGCCAGGTGCCTTGTAGTTTGTCTTCTCCTGTAGGAATAGCATCTCCCTCAATGCTCCTGAACATTTTTTACCATTTTGGTGAATCCTTTTAAAGTAGATTATATTTAGTCAATGCTTTCAAATTTATATTCTTAAAATAAATGTATACACATATTTTTTTTAAAAATATTTGTCCTGGGAAAAAACCCAGAATTTACAGTGGTAGGAAACCCCTATATGATGTGGCTGATTATTACAAACATCCAGAAATGATAGTGGCCAAGCCAAATCATTCCTCAAAACAGTGTTTCCCAAATAGGAGTCACATGCCACCTTACTGAGCTCATATATACACATGCACATATCTCTTGTGCCATTGTTTACTTATTGTTTTTACCCTTATTTTTTACCCTTTTTAAAACATAGTCTTGTATTGAGCATACTCTACATAATATGCTAGTTATATTTTTTCTAATAAACATTAAAGTAGATATATAACTACTAAAGAAAAATTGCTCATCCATTTGCACTCCATTCAACATCATCTCAGGGAAGTCGGTAGTATATGCGTACTGCTGTGCGGGAAATGTTGCGGTAGCATGTACAGATGCAATTGGCATAGTGACTTCGTCATAGTTTGTGTGACTCAGCCATATAAAAAGGTACCACTATAACTTCAGGAATATGGGTTTACAAATAATATATTAATTAGCTTATTGCTCCCAGGTTTTGAGAACTAGAAAAATATTGAAGTATTTATCACCACTTTATTTGCAGCCTATTCACGGTAGAGTTGAGGATAATTTGCACGTGATTAGCCAAGGTCAGAATATAATTATAGGTCATCGTAACATGCAGAATTGGTAAATAGAATTTGTTAATCCATATGGGACCATAGGATACATTTCAAATATAAATTACCAATTTTTATTTGTAAATGATAGAGAATTATACTCTTGTACAAAATAGGGAAATGGAATATATTTTCTACTTCTGTAGATCAGTAAATATTAATCATGGTTTTGGGGTTTTGAAATCACTTCTTTGTCTTCAAGCATCATGAAGTTCAAGTGGGTTTAGCTTTTATTTTAATGGAGCATAAAGATGGTATTTCCTATTTTCTTTTAAAATAATTAATAGCACAAATATAATATTTTCCCTTAAAATACAAATCATTAAGCTGTCAAAATACGGCCTGAAAATACTCCTAGTACATAGACTTAAATTTTTAAACATAATGGTGGCTTTGGTGTCACATTCTTGAATCAAAACACATAACCGCATGGTTCAAGCATAGTAATTATTAGTGCCAACAAATGATACTATAGGCAGTGCTGGGTAAATGCCGAGTCCCAGTTCGTTCTCCTCTTGAAAGGCAGGGTAAGACCAGTGGCTGTAGATAATGTGTAGAAATATTTAACCAAGACTCTGACCCTTTTGACATATGGATGAGTGGAATTGTGATGGTAATAATATAGAAATTGCAGAGTTTAAATATGTCATTGCACAAATTCTATTTTTAAGGTTTTGAAATCTCAATAGTAGTGCTTTTCTTGATTTTTAACAGTGAAATGATGGGAATATAGCTTTGTAAATTAATCTGCAAATTCAGGCTGTGTCCTGTGAAAGGTAGTTTAAACAGTATTTACATTAAATAATGTACTTTGTTTAATTGTAACGTACGAACATTAAAGATTTTAGTACTAGAGCAATAATTTTTTTTAAAATACTAAATCTCTTTATTCAAGTCAGCCATCCTGGTAATGACAGTTATCATCCCCTCCCTGAGTGTAAATATTAAGACATCTCATTATTCTCCTAGAAAAGATACTATTAAGAGGCATGTACTTTTCATTGAATGGTCACCTGCTTGTCTCATTAACAGAAGGATAGATAATGTTGTTTTATTGAGAGAAGGATAGACAGAGAGAGAGAGAGGGAAGGAGAGGAAGAAACCGGGAGGGGAAAGAAATAAAAACATTCTTTTCTTTTGCCTCTTGGCTTATCCCTTACACAGCTGAAGTCAGACCTGGTGAGTGACAGGGGAGGGCAAGAGTCAAGGAAAGTGCCGAGGTCCTCTTCTCATTGATAGGATACCAGGCAGTGTACCGGGGCCATGTGCATCAAATAGGAGATCTTTTAAGCTTTATTCTGAGTACCAATAGAGACTGGTTTTTCACTGAATTAGTGAGACAGTGGAGCTTCAGAATATTACCTCACCATTTAAGTACTGCAGTAGTTTTTATGCTTAACCTCACATTTATTCATGAAGTATATATTTATTGAATACCTGCTGTGTGAGTCAGGCACTGTGCTGACACTGTTTTTAGCATGTTTTAAAATGGAGAGGCCTATATAAGTTTTAGACATTATTCTAGAAGTAACATGAAGATACTTTTATTTTCATTTTTATAATGTTAAATGAGCTAAGTCTGAAATTTATTTTTTTATGGCCTACAGTTTATGAATGCCCTCTGGGTTGATCATGAATTTGATTTTGATACCTAAGAATTTACTTAAGACAGCTTTTGTAGTAGAGAAAGTATGTTAAGTTAGACATGGGTCTACAATAAAATTTCTGTTTTCATTTTGAATAATTCCAAAGCACATTTGCAGGGGTACTAAATTGTGAAGTTACTAGAATAACAGTAGCTTTCAGATGACCTCAGGAAACAGTACAAATAAGTGAGAGTATTTATAGATCCTCAAAACACCAACATAGTTGTTTGGCCCAATTAATTTAAGAAGAAAACATGTTTCACTAGCTTTACTTAGAAACTGTTTTACAGGGTATGTCTAATCCAGTTTCTTCTAGCTTTTCCATATTTAAAATATAAAATTTTGATTATGTGCCAATTATGTATTTCTGACCTAACCAAATATGTGTCTGTACTTAAGATTTTGTCATTTAATGTTCTTAAAACTGATGTGAAGACCACCTTTTTTGGGTAACCAAGGAGAGTGGTAGTTCGCATCTATTCTAAGAATAGTTGATACCTGTTTTCTTATTTCAAATGTTCCAACAGAGCTAGTTGACCATAATATATCTAATAGCCCTCAATGCATGTGTAATTGTTTTAGTCAGTGGTTTTATATACAATGGCTGAATAAAATTTCCTGAAGATTAAGCTGTGAAATGTATTACTTTCACCTAACTTTTGTAGTACAAAATAACATCCTGCCTAATTTTCTGAAATTCATATTCATAGTTTGCATGTTACTTGATCAATAAGCCTAAACCAAATATATTATGTGCAATAAAACTGAGCTTTTATATATCATCTAGTGCACTAAGAATTGTATATTTTTAGATATATAAACTTTTGGGTTATGTAGAAATCATCAATTCAAATCTGTTCAAAAGATAGAATGCTATATTTTCTATTTTGAGTATTGGTTATATATCATTCCTACTGTTTTATCTTTACTGTTTTTGCAGTGTTTTTAGAAAATAGCTGTGTAACTTATTGAGCATTATTTTGATGTTACTGTATAAACATGCAAAATGATTATTAAATTCTTATTTACTTTGTTTCAAGATTGGTCCTGGAGTTTTTGTAATGCACATTATTGACAGAATATTTTATCTATCAATACTCCATTTGCTTACTTAGCTATTTTCAAAATAGCCTTCAGATTTTAGAAATTCATTATTTCAGAACAAAATATCTTCTTATGGGCCACTTTCACTCAGTTTTCAATATCTACTAAGGGTGGCTCTTCATCCGTTTAGAAGTTTCTCAAATGTTCCAGTTATTTAGGCAGGATAATTCAATAGGAAATATTTTGCTTACCCATTTGTACTTAACCTTTTTTGCATCACGAAGCTTTTTGAAATTATGATGAAAGTTACAGAGCATCTTTCATTTGTTCAGTAATTTGGTAAGTATTTGTTGAATACCTGCTGCATGGTAGGCATCAGTGATACAGCACTGAACACAGGAGAAATCTGTAAGTGAGGAAATAGATATTCTAAGGAGTGAAGACTAAGGAAAAGATACATTAAATGGCAAATGATAGGGACAAAAATCAAGCAGCATTACTCAAAAAGCCATATAGGAATTAAGGTCCATTGGGTGAAGGCTGTTCTAGGGATAAAAGGTGTCACCATATTAGTCCTGATAGTCCCAAAGGAAAGCTGTGAGTGTTGGGAAAAGAGGAGGGTTCTAATTCTGCGGCCTTCTCTTTATTCCCACTGAAGGTTGGAAAGGGAAATCTTGACATTTGTATCTTCTCAGAAAAATATATGCTCCAGATTTTTGTATGTAATTTGAGGGGTTCATGGGCCCTGTGAAGCCATTTTCAAACATTTAAAGTTGCTCAATAAGAATTATCCAAAATATTTGCACTCCCGTATGTACTAGAATTGGCTGGATTATGCTGCAATAACAAATAACCCCACATCCCAATGGCTTAACACAACAAAAATTTGTATCTTCCTCACGCAAAGTCCACTGTGAGTCTGGACAACCTGCAAACTATTTTCCAACTGGTGATTGTAATCCAGACTGATGGTCTCGTGTCTCTATCATTTTAACACTAGGCTTCCCCAGGTGGCAGGGGAAGAGAGCACTAAAAGATCTTGCACCATCAATTAAGTTCATTTTGGATTTGTCGCAACTCCTTGGCCAGAAGTCACATGGCCCCAATTGCAGGGAGGGATGGGTAGGACGGTAGAAAAGAGTAAGGTAAGTTTCCCTTGGGCTCAGAAGAAAGGAATGGGGTACACAGTGCACTGGAAATCTCTCACAATCCACACTCCAGTCCCCAAATACTCAGCTCACTCTGTTCTCTACACACAGGACACAGTGACTCCCTTTTCAAGGGGTCCCATCCAGGCAAAGTTTTATTTTCCAAGACCAGGCTCTTTTAAAGTGCTGTCAGGTCTGGATGTTGGAAACCCAGAAACAAAAGCATATGTGTTACTTTCCACACTTACTGTGCAGTGGTGGAACCAGTAGAACCACTACAAGAAAAGTTCTTATTCAGAGAGTGGAGGAAGAATGGAGATACTGTCGGGATCCCTTGCCCTGGCATGGAGAATGTTCACGGTTAGCATTTTTTCTGTTCTCTAAGAATTCCATTCTCCATTCTCTGATTCCAGAGGCCGGACTCTGGAGTGATCTTTTTTATTGTCCGCTTGACTTGTTATATCCTACATATGAATGGCTACTGAGGAATATGCCATTCTTGGGAGTGGCACAGCTTTTTTCCAGCCTGTTTCCTAGATAATTGGGGCTTAAGTTTGGAATACATTCTTTGCTAAGGTTTATGGTTTCTCTTCCAGGCCAACTCTTAACAACTTGGCAGGCCTCTTATCTGTTTCCAGGTCAGATATATATGCTAGTAACCATACCATTTTGGGAGACAAGTAGTTCTTGGGATGTTATATTTTTTGCTGTATTTGGTTTCCTGCTTCTTTCCTGACTTTATGGCAACGACTTTCTGTTTATACTGTTTATTACCTTTGATGAGAGAGCTATCCTCTTATCCACATTTTCAAACTCAGGTATTTTTTCTTCCAAGTGAAAAAAAGATGCACTCTTAATCCATTGAAAAGAATTCTAAAGTAAGTATAAAGTCTACCACCCTTAGCTAGGATCTTTGCTGCAAGGCTGAGTTATAACAATCTTTTGTCACCTAAAGGCTTTCTTCAGTGTATTTTCTACTGTTGGGAGTTAAAAAACTCAACCATGTGAGGCTCAGGATTTATGGTTGCCTCTATTCCTTTGTGTCAGCTTTTACAAGTCAACTATTCTTTATCTTGCCAAATGCACCCAGTAGCACCCAACACATAGCACACACTCGTATTTTCCACCTCTTCCCCTAGTTCGAAGTTCGTTATGTACATTTCCTGTCTCCCAGGCTATCATGGGTAACAGGTCAGATGTTTTACCACTGCGTAATGTGAAGTGTCATGTTTCTAGCTTCCAATGTTAGTTTTCTATATATGCCAACCAACTGATAAGTTATTGCCACAAATTTAGGTTCTTTGAGCAGCACCCTACTCCTCTTACCAACATCTAAATTTGTCAGAATAGGATAGGTTTAAAAAGTGACTTTGTGGTCATTTCAAAGTCTTTTGTGAATTTGGGGCTCTTTCTGGTCACTTTTCCTAAGAAGTAACTCAGTGATCCAGGCTCATAGAGATTTACCAACCTGTAACTGCATTATCTGAAGTGTATTCTTCTTGGTTGATGTGACAGTGTATCAGGTCTTGTAACATTAGATCCCAGAAACAATAGTCATCACTAACCCACAGCCCCATAGGCCAGAACTATTCCACCAAGTCCTAACATGAAGGGGGCTTAGAAATGCCATTTCTGTGTGCTTTTAAGTCTGTAGGGAATCAGATATTGGTGAACCCTGCTACTGTATACCACATCATACAAATAAATTAGTACAGAAAGAGTAGTTGAATGACATGGGATCTTAGGTAAGAATATGCAGTCAGTAGCCTAGTAGGTTTACCTTACCTTCTCCAGTCTGGTCTAAATGGCCATTGCCTGCATAAAGCCCAGTTAGGTCCACTGTTAAATAGCTGAAGTAATTATTATTTTAGAGCCTCCTCATATTTCATTATGCCAGATACTCTCACTACTTTCTAGGAGATGCTTAAGTAACAATATTAAGAATTAAAAGTTGTCATTTCCAATGATTTTGTGTCATAATAGCTTTAATTTATCTTCCATTGTATTCATTGTGGTAAAACATATATAAAATCTACCATTTTAACCTCTTTTCAGTGAACAATTCAGTGGCATTAAGTATACTCACAAAGTTGCACAAACATCATTCATCTCTAGAACCCTTTCCTCATTAAACAGTAACTCCAGCCCCCAGCAATCACTATTCCACTTTCATCCTCTATGAATCTGCCTAATCCAGGTACCTCATATAAGTGAAATTACACTTGTCCTTGTGTGTAGACCTTGTTTCGCCTAGCGTAACATTTTCAAGTTTCACCTAAGCATGTATCAGAATTTCATTCCTTTTTAAGGCTGCATAACTTTCTATGATATGCATATATCACAGCTTTAAATCATTTTTTTTCTTAAATTTTAAGATGGGTGTGACATGGAATTTAACACTGTAAAAATCCACATCTCAAGAAGCAGGAATACTTCCTAATCCTTTGTTTTCTACAACTCATTCAGCTTTTTTCCATTTTACCTTGGGAATGACTTGTTTCCATAATAATGCACACTACTGACTTGAACATATCCTCCCCGTGAATTTCCTTCTTGAAACACTGCAAACAGGGCAAGTTAATAAACATGTAAATTTATGAAGTCCCCCGATTGTGAGTCATGAAGATAGCTGACTGGCGAGAAGGTGACTGCTAGAGCACTTTCCCAGCAAGGTGCAGAATGTCCGGACTGCAGCAGGTCGTGTATGTGACAAGACACTTGAACTGAGAATACATTTTGAGAAAGTGCAGTTTTCAAATAGATATATGTATACCTGACATCTCCTTCAGACCATAACATTATAGTTAAATGCTAGACGATACCGGCGAGAGGAAGGGAAATGGAGCTGTAAAATTCGTCAATAGCTTTCCAAAATGGCCTATATTGGTGTCACTGTTCAAAATATTAATTCGCTTGTTGGATAAACGCAAAACTTTCTGTGCAATAAGCAGTATGCTGGCCAGTTGGAGAGCAGAGATGGGGGTGAGGGGCGTTAGGGCTGGAAGCCCAAGGGTGGGGACTGCAAAAAAAATTGCTTCAACTTTGCTAGGGAAACAAGCAAACAATCACAAGATCATTACAGGAAGCAGAAACATGTAACGTTTCATTAGGACAATCAGGCTGCACATTGAAGATACAATGTTTCTCTGATTAGAATGTTTCTGAGAGAGAAAAACTTGAAAATCCACTGGCTATGCAAAAAAAAAAAATAATAATTATTTTTAAGAAAAAAATTGCACGGCAAAATGTCCTTCCAATTTTTGTTCCATAAAGTGCTTTAAAAAGGCATATTAGAATGTGGTGTAGGCCTTTTTTGCTAAGTGGAAATGAGGGGAGGAGTAGAAGGAATGGAACTTCCCCTTTTCCTGCAGTATTAACTTCATGCGCTCGGGTCACGGTGTTGGCAGCTGTCATTAGTGAATTACAAATGCAGTTTTATTTCGAGGGCCACTTGGACTTGGGATCATCAGATCCTTAGTTATTGAGGATTTTCTTATAACGCTAATCCAGTAGTTTCTGGGTTTCAGTGTTTTATTAAGGAAGAGTGAATTTCATGCAAACATCTGTATTCTCACATGTCTTATCTTCTTTATTTAGATGTACTCCTGCTGTTTTATTTCTACTGTACTTGTTACTTTTGCACAATTTCCAGTGAAACAATTTAGAGACGTGGTGGACTCGAGCCGCACCAAAGTTTCATGTTACTCTCCAGGAAGGCACTTTCCCAAAGTATAAGAAACAAATGTGTCTTTGAAACATTTTTTTCTTGTAACTTGTAGCTCCTAGCCTGGAAATGGATACTTTTGACACTGAACGTCCTTCCTGTGAAAACACCGTGGAATCAAAGTATTCTATTCGAAGAACTGCTGCCCAAGTCGTCCGGGGAGGCCATCTTGTCATTGAGAGGAAGGAGTAGCAGCACGGAGACCGGACTTCCCCACTTTTCCCAAAGGGCCACGGGGAAAGATCGAAAGATCGAAAGATCGGAACTAACTGTGCGCCGGGCAAGTGTCCCCGGAAGGAGGCGCGGTGTTTTGCGGGTCACGAGAGCGCGACGGCTGCGGGGTCAGCTGAGGTCGCCGCTACCGCTGCCGTCTAGCCTGGGCGCTAACGTCCGGTCTCGCTGAGGCGGAGGCCACGGCGCGGCTGTGAGCCCGAATCCCGGAGTTCTCCGCAAGTTCCGACCAGATTCTGGCCTCCGGACACGCCTCTCCGGGCGCAGCGAGCAGCCCTCAGAGTTGGCTCGGGTTCATCCTGGGGCCCCTCTGTAGTCTGAAAGCGCCGCGAACTGAGCCTCCATTTCCGAAGCGAAAGCATTCCTACGGGAGAACATACCACCTCTTGAAGGAGGACCACGTTGCTAAAGGGAAAAATCTGAGGGCGCTCTGTACAGAACACTTAAGCTCTTGGCTTTTTTCCCCACTGTAAAGGTGAAAATGGGGCGGGCACGGTGCTGGTTATTTTAAGAGGTAACGTACCGGAACGTTTACACACACACACTATGTTGAATACACGGTGAACGTGGGTTTGCCCACAACAAAGATGGCGTCCACACATGTTAACCGGGTGCGGTCACGTCCTCATAGACCAGGATGCGGGCCAGTATGACTTCAGATGACAAGCGGATGTAAAAGCTCACTTCCGGGTGGGACCAATCGGGCGCCATCTTGTCTTGTTCGTGAAGAAGTAGAAGCATCGGAAGGGTTGGAGAGGTGTTAACAAGAGCGGTGGCGACAGCGGTGTTCGGAGCCAGTGTGGGTAAGTGGTGGACAACAATTCTGCGTGGCGGACTTGCCCGGCCATTACAGCCTTTTTGATGCCTGCGGCGAAGGTAGCATAACTTAAACATGTAGGCTGCGTACGCTGCTTGGCGCGATCGCTGGAATCTCATCCCCTTAAAGCGGTGCTGTCCGCCTGACTTGGGGAATCGAAGCGGTGCTCTCGGTGAAAAGGTAATGTTCTCATTAAAGAGAATGAGCAAGCTCCCTTCCTCTTAAGTATGAGAGTTGCCTCTCATGTGAGTAGAGACTAATTGTTGGGCTCCTGACGGCCGTTAAGCACTGCGCGTGCGCGGTGGGAACCCCCTTATGGGGAGGGGGTCGGGGCCGCGGAGGAGGCGGGGGCCCGGGGCCTGGACCTCCGCCCTGGGCATCTCCGACTACGCAGGCGCAGCCAAGGGCCAGTGATTCCTGTAACTACGATTAGGTTCTCTAGTTTGTATTTTTCTTGTTTTTATTCACTGGTGGACCTTGTATGTTAAGCTTCCCGAGAGACAGGCAGTATCCAATATTTCAGTTGTATTACTCAATGGTGAATATTATCTGAACTTTACGGGCACTTTGATTGTGGTTAATTCATAAAGGAGCAAAACAAACTTGGAATTTCTGATTTGAGTGCAGTAAGGCAAAAGCAACAAAAATAAACCAGAACACTTAAAGATCTGCCTGTGGGACTGTTAGTAAAGTGTCCTGGGGCTATAGGGAAAGTAACAGTAAGTCAGCTCTTTTAAGTTAAATGTTCTTGAGACTCTGTATTTAAATGTTTTTGTCAGTAGATTTTATATTTTAGAACAATTTTTTTTAGTTTACAGAGAATTTGAGCAGATAGTACAGAGTTCTCATATGCCCCCCCCACATAGTTATTAACATGCATTAATATAGTACATTTGTTAAAATTAATGGACTAATAGATGCATTATTATTAGCTAGAGCCCATAGTTTATTCATATTTCCTGTTTTAACTGAATGCCCTTTTTGTGTCCCAGGGCCTCATTTAGGATGCCATTTATCCTAGTTGTCATGTGCCCTTAGTCTCATCTTAGTTGTGACGATTTTTCTAGCTTTCCTTGTTTTCCACGACATGTTGAATTGTGCCCCTCCAAAATCTATATGTTGGAGTCCTAACTTCAGTACCTCAGGATGTGACTGTTTGGAGATAGGGTCTTTAAAGAAGCGAATGGGGTCATTAGGTTAGGCCCTCATCTGTTATGACTGGTGTCCTTGTAAGGAGAGGTTCGAACACAGGGATGGTCCTGTGAAGAGGGAAGATACAGTCCTCAAGCGGAAAAGAGAGACTTCTGGGTGAAACCAGCCCTGCTGACATTTTGATCTTGGAACTTTTAGCCTCCAGAACTATGAGGAAATAAACTTCTGTTGTTGAAACTACCCAGTCTGGGCTACTTTGCCGTGGCGGCTGTAGCGAACTACTATAGTGTCCTTGACAGTTGGAGGGGAGGGTTGTTTATATTGTAGGGTGCCCTGCTATTGGAATGTGGTGGTTTTCTCATACCACTGGTCTTAGCTGCTTGGGGGAGGAGGATCACAGGGGTAAATGACTTTGTCATCACATCCTATCAAGGGTACGTGTGAATGTCCCTTATGAATGTGACTTACCAGGTTGATGCTGACCTTGATCATCTGCTTGTAGTAGTGTTTGTGACGTTTCTCCACTGAAAAGTTACTCTTCCCTTTTTTCCTTCTCTTTTCCATACTGTACTCATTGGAAGGAAATCTCTTTGCACAGTGCACACTGGCTTGGAGAGTCAGGCTCTCCCTCCTTTAGGGGACCTATATAATTTATTTGGATTTCTTATGCATGAGAAATTTGTCTGTTCCCTCCCCTTTATGTCAGTATAGACTCAGATATTTATGTCATAATTTGTGTTATGATCCCATACTACGTTATTTAGTTACTCAGTGTGTTCCAGCTTTGGACATAGGGAGAGACACCCCCGCCCCCGCCATCCTTTTTGTTGAGCTCTTTCTTCCTTCTTGGCACAAGTTGGTCCAGGGTCATTTTGTGGATTTCTTGCACCAGTCCTAAAAATCAGCCCTTTCTTTAAGAGTCCTGAGTCCTTTTATTGGAGAATGGCCTTAGAATGAAGGCAGGGTTGCTTGTTGCTATTGGGGTGTCATTTCCTTTTCTATATTTTTCAGTTGTCACTTTTTGGGGAGGGATAGCTATAACCAAATACGCTCCAGTACTTTTTGAATACCCCTCTTGATCTGCAAGCTGCAAAGTGTTTCAGTGTTTGCTAAATGCGGTCACATCATGTAGCGAAAACCTTGTCACATTTCAAATGATTACCAAGTTAACCTTTCCTGCTGCCATTTCTAATCTAAACTGAATTGAACAAATCTTCCTGATTTTTAGGTCAGTCACCTGGTGGGTAGGGCTCAAATGACAGGGGAGAAGAGGGAGGATTCTTGGCATTTTGTGGTTTCTGAACTTAGTTTATGTGAGAAACATTTCACCATATGTATCAAAGCATAGGTGTGTTTCTGTAGCTCTGATTTAGCAATTGATGCTTAAGGGCTGTAAAATGTTACATTTTCATTCTCTTTTTGTCAGTCTGTGAGGTGACTTTTGCAAATACTAATGATTGTCATTTAAACAAGTAATTTTAAGAACCTCAAATCAACGAATAAAGCTCTTCTAAAACAGTCATCTAAGAAATGGGTAATGTAAATGATGGTCATTTCTGATTGTTCTAGTTTCTTAGTGATACTGTAATGAATTACCACAAACTGAGTGGCCTAAAAAGACAGACGTGTATTGTTTCACAGTTCAACAGGCCAGAAGTCTGAAGCCAAAGTTTCCACAGTGCCTTGCTTGTGGGTGGGCGCCCTGCTCCCTCCCTCTCTCTCTCTCTCTCTCTCTCTCTCTCTCTCTCTCTCTCTCTCTCTCTGCTCCATGGCAGGATCCTTCCTTGCCTCTTCCCAGCTTCTGGTGGTTCCCAGCCCGCCTTGGCTTTCCTTGGCTGTAGACACATCACCCTTGTCTCTGTCTGTGGTCACATAGCATTCTCCCTGTGTGTGTGTGTCTGTGTCTTCTAAGCACACCAATCATATCGAATAAGGACCCCCCCTAGTCAAGTATAACTACATCAGCAAAGACCCTATTTCCAGGTATCACATTGGCAGTTTGTGGGGATTGGGTAGGACTTCAGCGTCACCTTCTGGCGGGGGTCACGGTTCAGTCCATGCAGGGGCCATGGTCACAAGCTAGATCTCACCACCGGGCGTGTGACTTGGATGACCCGAAGCACCGTGGCCACTGATCTTCCTGTCCTTCCCCAGGCCCGGATGTCTCCAAGGAAATAGCCGTGAGTTTAACCCCGTAAGGGGAAAGTCTCGCAGCCTGGCTCATCTGTAATAAAATTTCGTCCAGCCTGTGAAGTTGAGCCTAAAGATCTTTAAATCAAAGCTAAAGGAAGAACAATAGGGATTGATTTTGGATGTTTAATTTAAAATCAGAGTAGCAATATTAGAATGTCATTTTCATCATTGAATAGTAATGTATTTACTTGATAATAAATTTCAGGGACTGAGTAAAATATTTCACTACTTAATGTGGGCAAAACACTGTGGACAATTCAAATACAAGACATTTCCTGTGCCTTCAAGAAGATTCTTGTTTGAGCCAAGACAAAAACATATGAAAATTCAATATAAGTTTCCCTATAACAAGTACTCTGTGTCATCTTTAACTTTACTGTTATGGAAGTTTTCTAACAGTGCAAAAATAGAATATAGTGAATCCTAATGTACTTACCACTCATGTTTAACAGTTACCAGTATTTCCCAAATCATTAGTAAGCCCATGTGTAAATATCATATTGTATGGTACAAGGCTGTGCTATTTCACTGAACCACAATGAAATTAAAACTTTATTATTGCCAGATGTATTTTCATATTCCTTTTGTTTTCCAAATTTTGCATTTGTTATGTTTGTTAATCAGTAAAGAAGATTTTATGGTGAAGATGAAGGAATAAAGAGCTTCTAAACCTTTGCCATCAAGTCATAATCTTGTTAGTGAAACCCTTTATCAAGCATTGTATGCTGAATATAAAATTTTATATTAAAAACTTGAGTATATCAACTCTTTCCTTAAAATCTATCCCTTTACAAAATTCAGCGTAACTAAATTTCATGGACTAGGTCACAGAAATGTACTCAGTCTTTTATAAGAAAATGAAAGAGAGGTCAGGGAATTTGCCCAAAGTCTCATAGTTATAGTTTGTGTAATTTTATTGCCTATGCCAGTCATTATGGACTGTGCTAGTCAGCTTCCATTGATGTTCGTATCTTTAAAAACATATAGATTTATTTTTACAAATACATACTCATGATAAATAATTCAAGGAGTGCAGAAGGGTATAAAATAAAAAGTGAGAAGTTCCCTGAACTGTTTTGCTACTCAGAGAGTACCAGTCTTAAGAGATTTTTTTTGAAATTTAGGAATTGTCTATACTATTCTTTTTGTGACTGTTTGTGACTCCAGTAGGCACTGTATAGAGCTAGTTACCTACATTGTATGAGTTTACAACCTATGACAGAAAAATCTGCATATCACATTCTTAAAAAGAAAAAGACCTGGAGTGCATTTTTATTCATGTTATGTATATTTTATTCATGCTGTATTTTTTTCACTTAATAATACAATTTGTACATCAATATATTTCAACATATAAAAGTTACCTTAATCATTTTGATGGCTTAATAGGCATCCATGGGTGGCTCACTTTTATAAACTAACCTGTTGCCCTTTAATTGAGTGTCACTAAAAGTGGATATTCACTGTTAAAAACACAGTGCAGACTTTAGTTATATGGTAAGTATACTCATCCATGGCTTTAAGACTGTGAAGTGAAATGGCTGGTCAGAGAGATGTGCTTGTACAAGTTGATAACAGGCTGTAATCCAAAAAGACTCATTTGTTGTTTTACATATAGCCTCATTCAGCACTGATCCTCTGTAGCCAGAAAAGTTTCTCAGCTGCAGATTTAATTGAACCATTTTATTAAATAGCTCCTACCTTCTTACTTGACTCTCACTGTCACCATCTTAGCTGTGTTTTTATTCTGCTCTGCTCATAATTTCACATCTCTTTCCATATTTTTCTTAGCCTAAGTATATCAAACACTGGATGTGAGTAGTGTCTTCCATTAAAACTTTGGAGAAAAAAAAAATCTTTGAAAAAAAATAGTCAAGGTAGAAGTGGTTGGTTTTAACAAAAAGAAAAATGGCTACAAGTAGTACAAATCAAACTTGTGAAAATATACAAACAAACCCCTTTGTGCATGGGAAAACTGGATTGTCTTAATTTTTTTAATAATAAACTTCAGTACACAGATGAGAAAACCAAGGACTAATAGAGAGTAGTTGATGTGCCTGTGTTCACATAGCTTGCCAGCAGTGCAGGTAGGCACCATGAACCAGAGGTCGTGCTCTGAAGTCTAGATGACAAGTGATAATCAGAAAACCTAAGGGAGAACTGAGAAAGTCGTCGTGACAACCATTAAGCATGGGCGAGTGAAGGAAACTTAGGTGAGAGTGATTTCTAGGAAAGTAAATCTGTGTATGGAAGTGACGGTAGGGAGTCGGTACATGTTCATCATTAAAGTCCTTTTACTAAGTGCACGTCTATTTGTGACTCCGGTGGGCACTGTGTAGAGCTAGTTACGATGCCTGCATTGTATGGGTTTACAACCTGTGACAGAAAAATCTGCATTGAACTCTGAAATGTCTTAGAGCTTTGGAAAACACAGCACACTGCTCATGCCAGCTTTTTGGTTCTTGTCAGTATAGGTCAGCCACCTCCTTATCATTAACTTTTATTTAAAGTACAAGGAAGGAGCTACAGACCATTCTGTATTCATTTGGTGTTGATGTCTGCTGTGTGCAAGAGGCTGTCTTGTATCATATGCAAGGTAAAAAGATGAATAGATTTGTCTTTGTATTAACTTTGAGAAGCTTTTGATCTACTGGGGAGAAAATGAAAACCTGTGGGGGACAAACTGTTTTCTTTGCTGATTCTAATTTTTAAACAAGTCCATAGAAAAATCAGAATTAATACATTTTATCATGTTTTTACCATTTAAACAGGTGAATGAGATCTTTCAAATGTTTGTTTCTTTTTTTCACAGCATGTGTGACAATCTCTACATTGTTTGCATTATTTTATACTGTTAACTGTTCAGGTAACTAAAAAAGATATTTTGAAAGAAAAAAGAAAAAGCTTTACCTTCTCATTTCTTATGTATGTTTCCCTTAACTTTCTCATTATAAAGTGATTGGGAGAAAAAGATCCAAGTTCATTTGCAGATGATCACGTTTTCATGTTATATTTCTAGAATTTATTTTTATTATTTCTAATAACTTGGTAATCTAAATGCAAACATACACTTTTTTCTTTTCTTTTTCAGGGCATAAGTAATCTTGTTGCTATGCTTCCAAGCTGTAGCCTGAATCAACCTAAATTTTAAACAGAAGGTGAACCTCTGAGGTCAGTCAAAATAACATTTGATATTTCTTCTGGGTGTTTCCTCTGTTTATTTGTTGCTTTTTAATTAAAGTTTTAAGTGAAGTTACTTTTTAAGGGCTATAATGAGTCATTTAGCTTTTAAAAGGCTTTAAAGGTATAGTTGTAAAGAGGAGAGGGGAAAAAAGAAAAATACCTGAAGAAAGATTAGAAAAAGGAGTACGTATAGTTTGGAATTGATACCCAAGCCAGCTGTTGGCCTCAAGTATGGTACTACTTAGTGCCTATTTCTCATATTCTAATAATGCCATTATAATAGTACATTAAATGCCTTTAAATTAGTACAACTAATTAAATTATCTTAGTACAACTAAGATAGGTGCACTTGACTAATAAGTAAATCAAGCAAACAAAGGAATATGTCTTCCCTAACGCATAGTGTTCTTCAGTTGAGAGGCCAGGATCTGCCATTGATAGAATTATATAACATTTTGTGAATGCTGCCAAGACTGGAGTTGCAGATTCTAAGAGCCTGAATGAGCTCTTATAGCCGATCGTCCTGTTTGAGTTGGTCTCTTACGTCCCTGTTACCTGGCTTTCCTACTTTCTGTGATCCTGCGGTAGTAAGGCTGGCTTTTAGAATAGAGGAATGGATCAGCCTAGAAGGATTCACTTAGTAAACATTTATTTAATGTCTGCTATATATTAAGCACTGGGTATAATACTGAAAAAATAAGCCCTTCTTACCATGTGTGTCAGTGGTTCTTGAACAGGGATGTGTATCAGTGTTGGATAAAGTAGGTATTAGCCTTGTAGGAATTTTAACTTTTTTATTATGAAAGTTCAAACTAGTTTACAGAAAAGTAGACTAGTGTTATAACTCCCCCATACCCATCACCTAGATTTAATAATTAAGTATTCTCTCCCCCCTTTCTATGCTTATTTACATGTGAAGTAACCTGGTCTTGTAGACTATCGGTTTCTCTGCTTGTTTCTTTGATACTGTTGACCTCACTCCTGTCTCCTGTGATTCTTTTAGGCTGGAAGTGAGATCCAGAAGCTTAACAGATCCAGTGAAACATTTTTTGGTGAAACTATTGCTAGTGATTCCGGGTACATAATTTTGTATCTCATAGGGAGACACCTAATAATTTGTAGGGGTGATATTTCAACAACCTTTGGATTTGTGATTTCCCATCAACTTTTTTTTCTAAGATTGCCTGAATCAATTGTTTTATTAAGTTTGGTAATATGAAAGTTTTCTAAATCTATTCTACCTTTTGCATTCATTAGCTATGATTATTTATAATGAAGAGTTTTTCTGTATCAGCTAGAGCTATTTGGTTACCCTCAAAGAGTCTTGGCTGGGGGAGATTAAATCACTTATTCATATAATCTTCAAAATAATTACAATTCCAGAGATTTAAATGGGGAAAATTAGGTTCTCCCCTCCCCCCTTTTTGAGCTAAATTGAGTGGAGCTATGCTTGCCCCCAAACTCTGCATTGGTATTAGCATGAAATTTCTTGCTCTTGGTTGCCAACTGAAAAAATCCAGTTGCCTCTGGCAATCTACTGACTACAATTTTAGAGTTCTGATCGCATAAATGTATCATCATATAATAATTTCAGGTTGGAACTGTCTCTCATTTTTTTTTTAAATGTGTGTATTTTGTTGTAGATAGAAAGTCAAGTATATGTAAAAGTCAGGATGTGGGACCAAGGAGGAGGACAGCCTTGGCAGCAGTGGCCCCTGAACCAGCAGCAATGGATGCAGTCATTCCAGCACCAGCAGGATCCAAGTAAGGACGCGTTGCATTTGGAAGGTGGGACACGGGAGATAGAGGGATGAGTGGGAGATAAGCACTGGGGTTAGGGAGATGGGATTGAGATTGGTTTGTTGGATAATTTTATGGTCAATTTAATCGTTTCTCATAATAATCTTGCCATAGCATATATGTTAGGGAATAGATTTCCCTTTGGAAGATTGCCTCAGAGGGTAGAAAACTTTATGAAGATTTTACATTTTAAAAACTGATTAGTTCTTGTTTTTCTAAAGAAAGAGGTCTTTTAGAACGCTTTAGGATGCTTAAATAAAGCATTCTCTTGTTAATTCTGAATTTATAATTCTATATAGATCATAGTTATGCTATATCATTTAAAAAGTTTTCTAATATGAAATATTTCAAGCATACACAGATGTAGAAAACAATATAGAGAGCTTCCATTTATTAGTTAGCTTTAATAGTCATTAACTCATGGCCAGTTTGTTTCATTGATATGACCTCTTCTACTGTCCTGTCTTTATTGGGTTAATCAGCTCCTATTTCTTCTTTTAATAGTCATAGCATTCTGTTTAGGACTGTACTGTAATTTGGTAAATTCACTTTTGCATGGTTGATTGTAGCTTTTTACTTTTTGAATTAATTACAGTTACTGTAAATTATATGCATATATTATTTGTTTGTCCAGTTATTTTCTTAGAAAAAATTCTAAGAACTGAGTTTGTTAGATCACAGTTGCACATTGGAAAAGTTTTAGATCCATGTTGCCAAGTTTTAACTCCAAGTGAGTTATGTCACCAGAATGTATGAGAATACCTAATTAATCTTTACTAAGCTGAGATGTGGAAAGCTGTATCTTACTCTACTTTGCTTCCCTTATTAGATCTTAAAATGTTAAGTATAGATATTTGAGAAGCAAAAGAGGACTTTTAAGATAGTGAGGGCCATGAATTTTGAATAAAGAATAGCCACAAAGTTTTTAAGAAGACGTATTTCTAGAAAAGGGAGCCTTAGCTGAAGAAGGGTGAGAGAGGAAGACTAGGGCTAGACAGCTCTTCTCCTCTGAGGTCGGGAGGACCCAGTGCAGGCCTGGCTGGGACCTGTTTGAGGAAGAAATGAGTAAGTTTGATCGTTTGTTTTAATAGGTGGTTAAAAAAAAAAGTTTTTTAAAAGCTCGATAAACTAGGTACAGATGATAAATTTTTATGAGTAAATGCTAGTGTTTTTGTGGACTCTTTCTCTGAAAGTCTTAAGTAGTTTGTATTATTGTCTGAATATGGGTTATTTTCTAAGTGTCCTTTCTGTAATATTTAACCGTAACATAATGTAATATTTAAAAACCACAAAGTAAGGAGTAATTGAGATGCTTGTTTTGCATAGAGGCACTGTTATTTTAGTGTCTACTTTCTGAATGCTAAATTCTGTGTCAAATTATGCTAGGCCAGATTGATTGGGCTGCATTGGCTCAAGCTTGGATTGCCCAAAGAGAAGCGTCAGGGCAGCAAAGCATGGTAGAACAGCCACCAGGGATGATGCCAAATGGACAAGATATGCCTACCATGGAATCCGGTCCAAACAATCATGGGAATTTTCAAGGAGATTCAAACTTTAACAGAATGTGGCAACCAGGTTTGTTACTTATTTTTTCCAAATTTTAGTAGGAGTATATTTTTAAATGATTCAAATTAAATTATTTAATTAGTTTAGTTTGTGACTTCTTGAAATTAATGTTCCTTAAGGAATAGGTAATTTCAATTAGATTTGACCTTGAAATTTTGTGGTTAAAATGATTCTGTTCTCAGTCTGCTAGCATTGTGGCACTCGGTTTGATTCTTTTCTTGGTTCTTCATTCCTAGGCTGACAGGGGCTGGGAACACTGGAAACCTCACTTGTCATCTAGGGCAGAGAGCATTCTATGTCTCTCTGTTGCAACCTCTGGCCTTTTCAGAAGCAGCACTTGCAGAGCAAAACATGTGTAGCCTCTAATGAAAAACCGTGTCACTATGTGACAAATTAATCTGTCAAGTATACTCTGCCCCTCCCACCCACCCATGTTTTTCTCCCCTTTTTTTCTGCTAGTGAAGATCTTCCATAAGTTTTATGTTTCATTTTTTGTTTGTTTGCTTGCTTTTTTACTTCACAAGATGATGTAGAGTCCTTGATGCTAGTTCAGTTTTCATAACTTGTGTTACTGTTTCTAATAGTAATTTCAGATAATTTGTAGAGGAATCTTACATTTCCGTATGCTTATGGTACAGTTATATCTCCCTTTCCCTATTAATTATTATTGCTGTTTCTCAGTGTAAGAATGGAAAACTCAGGAAATAATCCTCTAATACCATTTTTAAAGGAGAATGAATATTCTCATTTCTCACCTTTGATACCTAGAGGTATCAAATCATTTCTGATTTTCTTGAAACTAAACCAAATTTCCCCAAGTTTGAGAATGTTTTGGCTCCCAAGTTCCAAAAATGACCCACTCTAGCATCCCCACTGCCGCAATTACTTCAGTGACTTTCTTGGTGACCTGGGAAAGTGATTTACGTCTGTGTGCCTCAGTTTTCCCTCCTGAGATTGGCAGAAATAATACCTGATTTCTCCCTACCTCACAGGGATGTTGTGAGGATAAATGTGATCATGGAGGAAAGAAATTACATAAAATCTCAAGGTATTATTTTCTGGCGTTGTTACTGAACACAAATAGAAAAATTCAACAAAATTGCTTTGGATTTTGTTATTTATTAAAAATACTTTTGGGCACTTGTTTTCCATTTGTTTAGGATACGAATTAGACTAGAGTTAGTGTATTTGAATTATTTATTAGATTAATTCATTGCTTATTTTTAAGATATACAAGAGGAATTTGACCAAGAAGTCATAAATTTTATATCTATTTCTTTACTGAAAAATCTGTCTTGAGATCTTAAAAATTTGTGTTGATTTTGTTATAACCCCCTGTTGAATGTTTTTATGCCTAAATCCTAAATAGAATGGGGAATGCATCAGCAACCCCCACACCCCCCTCCAGATCAGCCATGGATGCCACCAACACCAGGCCCAATGGACATTGTTCCTCCTTCTGAAGACAGCAACAGTCAGGACAGTGGGGAATTTGCCCCTGACAACAGGCATATATTTAACCAGAACAATCACAACTTTGGTGGACCACCCGATAATTTTGCAGTGGGGCCAGTGAACCAGTTTGACTATCAGGTGAAAGATATTTTGTTGCTTTAATAACGTAGATGTGCACGTAATCCATGCTTTGGAAGTGTCTCATCAAGAGTACCTAAGATATGTGTTTCACTTTTCAGTCTTGTACAGATAAGCGCATATTATGTCTCAGAGAAATCATCAATATTTGAGCATTAAAATTACTAGATTTTTATTTTCTGGTTTTTAATTTGCTTAGGAAACTGGCATGAAGGATTGTTAGGGAAAAATTTGGACAAAGTGAAAAATGTGGAAGGGCATTTGCTATATGATTTGTTTTCTAATTTCAAAATGGTATATTTAAATGTTAAATAAAGTTTAGAAAATACACAGTAGTTGAATACATTATTTATCTATAATGGATTATTAATACATGAATAAAATACATGAACATAGATCATCTTCCTAAATGCAGTTCTTCTGCTGTGTAGAGTTAGGACTTTTTCTAGTGTTGTCTATTTTTTCCATTCTGACATGACATGTTAATGGAACTCCACATAATTTCCTTTTAGCATCTAATTCATTCCTAGGGACATAGAACTCTATGGGGAATAGGTTCATTATGTGGGTCTTTATTTTTTCTAAACACTTAGCCAGGGTATCCCCCTAAATTACTGTGCTAGGTATCATTTTGAAATAACTCACTACAATTGTTTGCTTGTAAACTGAGCTGTCATAATTTAAAATTTTGAAAAAACCCGTATGTTATTTCACTAATTGTATGGATAAGTGACACAAATGTAAATAGTTTTCACCTTGAGGCAGTAATTCTTATTCAAACATATTCAGATACTAGTTATATCCTAATACTAGGTGTACAAATATGACAATGTTTGGTTGGTTGTGCTTTTGAAGAAACGTAGTAGCAGAGAGCTTCTACTTACAGCACATTTACATGGTAGATCTCCATGCTAACAAGACAGAAGAGCTCTTTCGGCAACTGGCTTAGAAGAGCCTCTGAAAGTGGCAAAATTGCAAAAAATATTTAATGATTCTGTAACTTATATTTGGTTAAAATAGATATTTCTTGCAAGATTACAGAAACAATTGAAGTTCACAAGGTGTAGGTAATTGGAATTGGGAAAAAAATTCCCTTTGTTTTCTGACTATAGAAAAAATTGACTTGATTTTTTGATAGTGGAATGATTAATCTACAAATGGATTCAGAGTGAGAAAGTTCATATACATGTCTTTTTCTATGCTTCTTAAAAATAGTGTATCAGTTGGATTTTAGATATCTTTTTATATTTACATTGGCAGAAAATCTTTATCTTTCTTAAGAAAAGTAAGCCTAGGTTTTTGAGGCTACAGAAATTTCGAAGGATATTAAAACCATGGAATTCTTGGATTTGCTGCACACATGGATTTCTACTGTCCCAGTTCATAACACACGTGTGTCCCAGGAAGTATAATGTATTAATGTGAAGAAAAATAAACTGCAATACTCTTTCAGCATGGGGCTGCTTTTGGTCCACCGCAAGGTGGATTTCATCCTCCTTATTGGCAACCAGGACCTCCAGGACCTCCAGCACCTCCCCAGAATCGAAGAGAAAGGCCCTCATCATTCAGGGATCGGCAGCGATCGCCTATTGCACTTCCTGTGAAGCAGGAGCCTCCACAAATTGGTAGCTATTTAAGTTTAGTGAACCAAAATTGCCATGATTTCCTGATCATGTGATAAGGATGTCTGGTTTTCTTAAATTGTTCTGAAACCTCCAATTATGTTAGGAATTGATACTTTACAGTCATGTCATTTTATAGTCATAAACTTGAAAATTACGGAAGTACTGGTCCAAAATATTAAAAGTTTTGAATAATTTTCTTTAAACTCCAGATTTTATGATGAAATAATAAATTTATCATGGCTATAGCTTTGTGGTATTTTTTTCATTGTTGACAGTTTGGTAAATTATGCCAATATGCGCACAGTTTCCCCGTTTAAAACATCCTAGTTATTCTCTGTCTCTGGTCTCTTTCCACTCTCATTTCAACTGAAACATTGTTGCCAGGTTAATTTTCTTTAGATTATTTTACTTCCTGTAAGTATTTTGGCAGAAAATTTCAATATTTAAATAACATTTTAGAACTAACCTACTTCAATGACAAGTTACATATTTACGCTACTGTATATCTGGAAATCCATATCCAGTACTTAATGGACCAGGATATTTAAGTCTCTCCTATTTAACACGAAGACATTTTAGGAAGATTACAACTTATTTTATAACTTACAAAATAATCACCTGTTCAAGTGAATCCTCAGTGTGAAAATGGCATTGTGCTACTCTGTTCTGTGTTCTTATTTCAGGAAGCAGGGTAGTATGAGTTCTAGTCTGCATTGCCGCTTCGTGGCTTTGTAACCTTGAGCACACCACTTCATCCCTTAGCTCAGTATCCTCATTGGTGAAAGAGAGCAAGTAATAGTAGTGATCTTGTAGGGCTTTTCTAGGATTAAGTGAGATGATATTTAATGTGCTTTCATAGTGCCTTGAACATTGTAAGCATTATGACAATGTTCACTGCTGCTACAAAAAAATGAAGATTTTAAAGAAAAGCATGATGTTTAATGGCTTGTTTTTATTACCATTGTCTTGCTGAAGAATGATAGTATTTGTTGTAAGTACCCAAATGGCATCAGAATTATTTTTTTTAATTTACTCACAAAGTTTATAGAAATTGAAGAATAAGGAACTCAGATACTTAGGATTCTTACTCAACTAATGTATTAATATTTTTTCCCATGTGAAACAGATGCAGTAAAACGCAGAACTCTTCCAGCTTGGATTCGGGAAGGTCTTGAAAAAATGGAACGTGAAAAGCAGAAGAAGTTGGAGAAAGAAAGAATGGAACAGCAACGTTCACAGTTGTCCAAAAAAGAAAAGAAAGCCACAGAAGATGCTGAAGGAGGGGATGGTCCTCGTTTACCTCAGAGGAGTAAATTTGTAAGTAGAAACCCCTGACATCAAACTCCGTGTGATGGTATCTATGTGAAAAGTTTATCGAAATATATAGGTATTCTAGCCTGTAGAGAATTATTAATGTTCCTGAGATGATTTTCAGTTAAGTATATTAGGGATTATGGTTTTATGTACGTCTTACTGAGGGTGGAGTAAAGGGGTAGCAAGTTTATAAAACATTTTATTCCAGAGAGAATTTATTCATTGGGATGTTAAGAGTAAGTGAATATCTGGACAAATCTATTTTGTGTGGTACAGCTAACTCCCTAGTGGTGAATGATAAAACAAAACTAAGAGCAGCAACAGAGATATAAATCTGCCTTTTTTGAACATGTAAATATATACTTATGCCAGAAGCTGTAATAACTAATGGTTTTTGACATGAGCTCTGAAAAGTAACAAAGTTAAATCTTTAAATCTTCATTAAGATGACATCAGCAGCTTAGGAATTTTTTGATTTAGCAATAATGTCTCCTACCTGGTAAGACAGCTGCAGCACTGACTGGTATGCACCTCTGGAAATGGGTCCTCCTCCCAAGACCATTTTCTTCTGTAGATACAAGTTTCAAATAGAGTGAGGTAACTAGATTTAAACGAACGTTGGTTTTGCTTGAATTCCATATGCAGTAAGTTACTTTTATTTGTTAACAACAAAAAGTTGCCAGAAATGTGTTTTTATTCTGGTGTTAAGAAGATAGGGAACAACAAACTGCCACTACTGATGTTTAACCTTTTTAAAAAAAATTTTTTAAATCTTTAGTAGTGGATTTCCAGATTTTATTTATTTTTATTAGCAAAAAATTGACCATCTTGGCTTTTGTAAATAATGCCTCTGTAAACATCGAGGTGCATATGTCTTTTCAAATTGGTAATTTTGTTTTCTTTGGGTAAGTGCTCAGAAGTGGAATTACTGGATCATATGATATTTTTATTTTTAATTTTTTTGAGGACCCATCATATGGTTTCCCATAGTGACTACACCAATTTATATTCCCACTGATAGTGTACAAGGGTTCCCTTTTCACCTAAGTGTCCATCAGTAGATGGAAGGATAAAGAAAATGTGGTGTGTATATATATATATATAATGGAATATTACTTAGCTATAAAAAGAATGAAATCTTGCCATTTGCAACAATGTGGGAGGACCTAGAGAATATTATCTATGCTAAGTGAAATAAGTCAGAGAGACATATACTATATAATTTTACTTTTATGTGGAATAAAAAAAAGTAAAATAAAAAACAAACAAAATAGAAATAAACTCATAAACAGAGTGGATAACCTGGTAATTGCATTAGGAGTAGGAGATGGGCAAAATAAATAAGAGGTACAAACTGCCAATTATAAAATAAGACTTGGGGATGAAAAGTACAGCTTAGGGAATATAGTCAGTAATATTGTAGTTATCTCTGTATGGTGACAGACGGGAGCTACACTTACCGTGGTGATGATTTTGTGATGTATATAATCATCAAATACTATATTATACACCTGAAACCAATATAATGTATATCAACTATACTTCAGTGAAAAAAAAACATGAGAAAACTTGTTTGGAGATGCTCTTTCCTCTCCTCCCAGCTGCCTCTGGGCTGTGTTCTAGGTATTCCTTCCCTGGTTCAGTCGTCTTTGCATAGTGGTAATATTTAAGGGAGCACCTTGTCTTTCACTTAGTAGGGTTGTTAGAGTGTCAGTGGAATACTTCTCTGCCCAAGAAGAACCCACTTTTTGGTGGGTATGCTCTCTCTATACCTAAAACCTGAAAACCTGAAAAATGTCTGGATACCTGAAAACCTAAAACCTTAGAGACAAACTGCTAGCATTTCCTTCATCTGAAGTAGATTTCATTTCTTTACTGTCCATTCTGTGGCTAAAAAGAAGTAGATTTCACTGAGTTTTGGGGCCAGCTGAGATCTGCAGACTAACTGCAGAGTTTTCATTTTAATTCACACAATTTTAGGTAAATAGCTTAAATTTACAGCTGTAAAGGTTATGCTGAATAATATGAATGTGGTTCATTTATCCAAAGTTCTACAAGCTGCAGGTTTCAGGACCATCATATATAAGGAATATTAGTTTAATCAGTCTGTGGGCATGATGTAGTTTTGGTTATTTATAAAATAAGGTCATAATTGTCTAAGAAAAAAAAAATAAAAGAATAATTAAAATCATTGATTCTCGTAAGCTGTTTTTATAATCTTACATTCCCCTCAGGGTAACATTTTAAATTATTAAATGAAGTCTCTAGTACCAAAAGGGAATTTAGAGAGAAATTTCATTTTTATATATCTGTTTCAACGACTTTTTAATTTGGGATTCTGAAATAAACTGTAAGTGCTTTTACATTATAAACATGAATTTGGGGTACCCACACTACTACTTTTTTTAGGACAGTGATGAGGAAGATGAAGACGCTGAAAATGTTGAGGCTGCAAGCAGTGGGAAAGTCACCAGAAGTCCATCTCCAGTTCCTCAAGAAGAGCAAAGTGAACCAGAGATGACTGAAGAAGAGAAGGAGTATCAAATGGTAAAATGTTAAATTTCTTACCATGTACAGGATTTATTTTATTAAAGAAAAAATTTATTGAGGTATAGTTGACATAGAATATTATACTAAAGAATTTGAAATATTTTAAACTACTGGTTGGCTGTCTTAAAACATTAAAACTGAGAACTCATGAAGTAGTTACACTGTATATTAATGTATAGATTTGCTAGGCAGTAATGTCTGCAGAAGCCAGGTGGCACGCAATCACTGGCTTATAAAGCAGACCCTGAGCACGTCTCCTAATACTAACGCTGTTAACAATGTTTTACTGTATATGAGACCTGAGGGTTCATTTGTTGATCTGTTATTTTCTAAAGTGTGTTTTTTGAATACTGAGAAAGATTAAAAGACTTCATAGAAGTATAAGTTTAGGAAGCACTGGGTTAAACACAGTTAAACTATTTCTTCAGTGGAAGAATTTCCAAAACCTTTAGTATCTGTAATGTGATTGTCATTTTTTAAGATTGGAAATATAACGTGCTGGTTTCTTATGTTGAAAGACCAGTGATCTTTGAAAAGTGCTTGGAAGATGCTGATTGAGTGTACTCGCATTTTAATAGATAAGTAATCTTGATCCCAGAGAGGCTAAGGAACTAGTAGTCTACATTTGAAACAACTGTTGGTAGCCAAACAAACCAGTTCTGGAATCCATGTGTTCTTTCATTCCTAATGTACTCTGTATTATAGTACTCAAGAAAAAAAGGACTTCATCTGATAGACTGGAATAACGGCCTTTTCCTTATTTTCCCATCTCAAATTTTACGTGGACTGAAGGTTAATGTAAATTCCTATGGGATTTAAGGAACTAATCTGTGCTGCTTACTAATATTACTAAATGAGGGGCTATTCCTTTCAACTTACAACATCTGTGAAAAATTTTATAATAGGAACCTTTTAAAAAAATATTTTTTCTCTAGAATTAGAATTCAGTGTCTACTGTACAGATAAATTCATATTTTTCTTTAATCCATATGATTTTGAAATATTTTAATGTTTTCATATTTTAGAATAATTTTCAAGATACACTATTCCTTGGAATGGCTGAGCTGAACTCTTTTTTTTTTTGAGAGGGCATCTCTCATATTTATTGGT